GAGAACTCTAATATCTCAGATAGATCTGCCTTTGTTGTATCAAGAGGCCGTGGTGCTAGAGGTGGAGCTTGGGGAGCTCAGTCTAGCCGTGGTAGTAATAGTGGTTTTGTGTATGGCCGAAGTGGCAATGGTGGGCCTACTTATAATCGGGGTGGTGGTTGTACTGGGGGCAGAGATTCAAGGGGAGCCCGTGGTAGAGGACGTGGCTCAGGCCCGAGGAAATGCACTCATTATGGTATGGATGGACATACCATTAACTATTGTTATGATCTACATGGTCCACCCTCAACTTGGGCCAATCATGCCGCGACCAGTGACTCTAGTTCCAACTTTAGACAGGAGAATCATTCATCTGATCAGATACCTCCTACATCCACAGATGGTCCCGTGAAGGAGATGAGTGTTCCCCGTGATGAATATGAGAGGTTTATCCAATCACAGCAGAACACGGTGACTTTCGCCACTCAGGTATGGCTTGTTTGGCATCCACACCCAATCCCTGGATCATTGACTCTGGAGCCTCCGATCACATGACTGGAACTCCAGGTGTGTTTTCTTCCTTATCTCATTGCTCAACATCACAATCTGTCACCCTTGCTAATGGTTCCACATCCTTAATTTGTGGTGTTGGTAATGTTGACCTAGACCCTGTATCCCTCTCCTCAGTTTTGTATGTTCCTAAATTGCCTTTTAATCTTATGTCTGTTAGTAAACTAACCAAATCACTTAACTGCTCCATTACTTTTTATCCTTCTATGTGTGTTTTTCAGGATCTCAAGATGGGGATGAAGATTGGTGGAGGGAATGAAGCTGGTGGACTGTATTATCTTGACGGTGGTGGCAGAACTTCAACAGCTCTCCAGTCATCCCTTTCCCCTCTCCAGTGGCACTACCGATTTGGTCATCCGTCGCTAAAAGTTTTGAAGTCTTTGGTTCCGTCTTTGAGTCAGCTTTCTGTTTTGGATTGTGAGTCGTGTCAGTTTGGGCAACACCATCGTATTCCCTTTAGTTCTAGGGTTAATAACCGTTTGTCGAGTCCTTTTTCTTTAATTCATTCAGATGTTTGGGGTCCTTATAAAGTGATGTCATATAATGGATAYARATAYTTTGTCATTTTTSTVGATGMYTTTTCAAGGATGACGTGGCTCTATCTAATGAAAGAAAGAAGTGAATTGTTTACCATTTTTCAGAAATTTTATGCTGAGATTCGTAATCAATTTGGTRYYCACATYAAAGTTTTYYRTTHTRATAATGGCCGTGAATATTTATCCTCATCATTTCAAGAATACCTGGACCAACACGGCATTATACATCAGACCTCATGTACTTACACCCCACAACAAAACGGGGTGGCTGAGAGAAAGAATCACCATCTCCTGGAAACAGCCCGATCCCTAATGCATCACATGCATGTTCCCAAACCCTTTTGGAGTGATGCAGTGCTTACCTCTTGCTTTCTGATTAATCGGATGCCCACGTTCATCCTTGATGGTCATTCTCCGTTTACGGTATTGTTTCCCGCTTTGTCTCTGTTTCCTCTTACGCCTTGGGTATTTGGGTGTGTCTGCTTCGTCCATAATCTGGGTCTCGGGAATGACAAGTTTGATGCCCATTCTCTYAAGTGCATCTTCCTTGGCTATTCTCAGACCCAGAAAGGGTATAGGTGTTAACATCCTAATTCTCGACGGTCCTTTGTGTGTGCTAATGTCATCTTCTTTGAGTCTACTCCGTTCTTTTTGGGGTCCGGTGATGCTTCTTCCTCCTCATCACCTCCTCTTCCACTTCCTGTTGCCGACCCTCTTCCCCTTATTCTAGCCATGACCAAACCCTTGCCTCCGGTGCCACCACCTGTTGAACGCCCACCTATCCGTCATGTGTATACACATCGCCCACGCGTACCAGCTACTACTCCTTCGGCTACATCTCCGTCGACAGATCCGGCACCAGACCCGCACTCAGCATCTGAGCTTGATCTCCCCATTGCCTTGCATAAAGGTAAACGCACTTGCACCCTTCATCCTATTTCTAATTATGTTTCACTTACTCACCTTTCCGCCTCCCATCGCCAGTTTGTCACCTTGTTATCATCAGTTGTTGTCCCTAAGGATGTCTAGGAAGCCCTTGCATCTCCAGGGTGGTGTCGAGCGATGGAAGAAGAACTCTTTGCCCTTCATCATAATCATACTTGGGACCTCATTGCTCTTCCTCCTAGGAAGCAGGCTATTGGTTGTAAATGGGTTTATACGGTTAAGTATCTGCCTGATGGTAGTGTTGAACGCCTGAAAGCACGATTGGTTGCAAAAGGGTACTCCCAGACCTACGGTATTGACTACACAAAGACCTTCTCATAGGTTGCTAAGATAGGGTCAGTTCGTGTTGTGATCTTTCTTGCAGCCATGTATGAGTGGCCACTATATCAGCTTGATATCAAGAATGCCTTTTTGCATGATGACTTACTCGAAGAGGTCTACATGGAGCAACCTATAGAGTTTGTTGCTCAGGGGAAGGATGGTAAGGTGTGCAGACTAAGGAAGGCTATATATGGGCTTAAACAGTCTCCTCGAGCATGGTTTGGTAGGTTCAGTGAGGTAGTAAAGAAGTTTGGTATGAAACARTGCAAAGTTGATCATTYTGTATTTAGTCATGACTCTCCGGGAGGAAAAWTACTRTTGGTGGTGTATGTAGATGATATTGTTATTACTGGGAATGATAACATGGGTATTGACAGGCTGAAGACTTATCTGCAGGATCATTTTCAGACAAAGGATCTTGGTAAACTGAAATATTTCTTGGGGATAGAGGTAGCAAGATCCAAGTATGGTATTAATCTGTGCCAGAGGTAATATGTGCTTGATTTGCTGGAAGAAACAGGCTTGTTGGGTGCTAAACCAACTGAAACACCTAAGGACACAAATACCAGGCTAAGTAGTGATATGGGTGAAGTATTTGAAGACCCTGGCAGATACCGACGACTTGTGGGTAAACTGAATTACCTAACCATTACTAGACCAGACATCTCATTTGCGGTTAGTGTGGTAAGCCAGTTCATGCAAAATCCTCTTATTCCTCATTGGAATGCAGTTCTGAGAATTGTGAGGTATTTAAAAGGGGCTCCGGGTCGTGGTCTGATATACAAGAGTGGCGGAAAAGTCGAAATAGAAGGGTATTCTGATGCTGACTGGACCGGTTCTATGTCTGATAAGCGGTCTACCACAAGTTATTGCACTTTCCTGGGAGGTAACCTGGTGACATGGAAAAGTAAGAAGTAGATGGTTGTGGCAAGAAGTAGTGCAGAAGCAGAATATAGGGCTATGGCGCACACCACTTGTGAATTAGTGTGGCTAAAGAACCTTCTACAGGAAGTAGGGTACAACATCAACACTCCAATAAAGCTCTATTGTGACAATCAGGCTACAGTTCATATTTCCTCTAATCCTGTGTTTCATGAAAGAACCAAGAACATTGAAGTTGATTGTCACTTTGTGAGGGAAAAGGTGCTGAATGGAGAGCTAGACACTACATATGTTAATACAGGAAACCAGTGGGCTGACTGACTTATTTACAAAAGGCTTGAGTCGGGGAAGAGTGGACTACATATGTAACAAGCTGGGAGTATATGATATATACTCACCAACTTGAGGGGGAGTGTTAGCGTAGGGGTATTTCTGTCTTTATACCTAGATTAATGTTGCTGATTTGTAATGTTGTGTTATAACCAGTGCTCCTTACTTAAATAAGGGCACATATGTCTTTTCAATATTTTTAATAATAAAAGTACTGTCTGGCCGACTGGGAGTGTGATTCTTGTGACTTCCAGTTCGAACCAGATTTTCTCCTTTCTCTCTTTCTCTCTTTCTCTCTTTCTCTCTTTCTTCCACCTTTCTATCTCTTTCTACATAACCGATCTCAGACAAATAGAACTCCAAGGCAAGCCGAATCATAACACTGATGATCAACTGCATACAAAATGAGGAGATGAAGATGTGGATATTTAGCAATGAAAGGAAGAAAATCAGGAATCTATCAAAAAAAAAGGAAGAAAATCAGGTGGCTAACTAGAGCCACGGAAGTAAATTACAGTTGGGTTAAGCGCAGTGCTAACTCTGTAGCTGATGCTTTAGCTAAAGCGCTAAACAAGGGGTAGGGAGATAATCTTTGTTGTGGGCATAGTTGTAAGGGTGAGAATGTATCATGGGGAGAGATAAGAGATTTTATCTCTCATTGTCTTGTTCTGTACCTATGCTCACTTTACTTCTAAATATTTCTTATTATTAATAAGATTTTCCAGTTATTGATAAAAAAAAATTATTTCTTAAGACAACAGGTATGGAAGCTTAAATGCAATGGCAGATTTTTTCTATTTTCCCTTTTCATAGATAGTTAACCCAGGTTTTGCAGAACACAGTTGATGTTTCTTATCTCTGGGGTTTTCAAACCCCCCTAAAGTGGAAGCAATCCTTTGTTTTCCCCTCTTGGACAAAAATTCTGACCATTGATCATATTATTCATAAAGGTATCCCATTTCAATGGTTGCATTATGTCTAAGGATCAGTTGAAGCCAGTGGACAACCTACTTTTGAAGGTCAACTCTTTGCCTTAAAGAGAATTGCCATTTGTTGGGGTTGTGAAAAGACAGAAAAAGGAGAATTTTTTATGGGTATTCCTGCCCTTTGGCTAGGAATATTCTCTTGATTTATCTCTCATTTTGAAGAAGCTTTTTGGGTGTAACAGGATGGTTTTACTTCTCAATGCAGTAGATTTTTGGATTTAGTGGATTATACAGTGAGGATACTCTTCTGGTCTTCCCTGTTGTTTTGCTTTTTTTCATCAATGCTATATAATATAGATATATTGTTGGTGACTTGGTAATAGTTAAAAGCAACTAAGAACACAAAATCAATATGCACTGGGGTTAGAATAAATTTAGTGTAAACAGTTGAAATCTTAAAGTGGACTTCAGAGGGAAGAGGAAAAAAATGTAAAGGTTGCAAACAACTTACCATTTCATGGCATTTTACTACAGCTTGATTGATTTCTTCAAAACTTTCTGTTGGCATTCCAGTCAAACGTGCCAATTCACTTTCATTTGGGCTTAGTATATCAACAAGGCTTAGCAGTTCTGCTGGAATGGGTCCCTCCATTCCCCCTGCATCCAGAATAACTGGAACACCTGCACTCCATGCAGCCTGAAGATATTTCAAGTTTCAAGTTTCAAGAAGGTATCACATTTTTACATGAAACCATTACAAGCAGTTGTATATATATATATATATATATATAGAGAGAGAGAGAGAGAGAGAGAAGAAATAAGAAATAAAATCTTCTGAAAACTTAATAAGCAACAAATGCTATATAAGAACTTAGTAGGGTCAAATAGAGTCCAAGAGGTTTCGGCATTTCGCACGTGGAACCAATGTTAGTTTAGGAATTTCCTAAAAATACAGATTTTTTTGGTTATTTTTTATATTTGGACATCAGGTCTACTAAGGTTTCTAAAAGTCCAATAGGGGTTTTACACGTGTCTTTTGATTTTTACAGGTTTATTTGAGGAATTTATATAAGGTTCTGTGAATAGTGATTTTGGAATAGCATTTTATTTTCTTCTAAAAATGAAACTTGTTCCACCCAAAGTCCCTGGCAGGCCTATTATCTATTGATTTACTTAGTTTTTTCTCTTCTTATTGCTTGATTGATTGTGGCTGCTACTACTACTTTGTCTTTGGATCTTTTGCAGCTTTCCTTATATTAGGAGAAGACGATAAGATGGTGATTGTTGCTCTTCTGGTAGATGAGGAAGCCACATTCAGTCATTCCTTGTGATGCCATTGGTGCTAAAATCTCTGCACTCCTCTCTAGTCTTCAGCCAATAAACTACCCTCACCATTATCAATTTAATTAAAGCTTCTTGAGTCATGTTTTTCTTGTTGAACACTCACATTGTGTTCTTCCTAAACAAATCATAAAATCTCTGCTCTAGCACACCTCCCCATGATCTCCCATTTAGAGTTTTAGTACAAGAAGAGAAGAAAGCATGTCTAAGTAGGGGCATTGATGTTGTAGTTCTTTTTCTTATATATCCCACAACAAACCATAAAAGGAATCGCACTTGAAACAATCTTTGCTTGAGATCCACCATGCATATAGCTATAATGAGAAATTTTCATAAGAATGACAAGGATTCTATTGATTCTTGGCAAAGGAAAATGTCCAAGTATACAATCCCATCTTACAATGGATAAAAAGATAGCAGAAAATTGTCCTTCCCATGCATAATGCATTTGTGTTCTATTCTGAATCCCCTCTAAAAGTGAATAATGGTAAAAATGCTACCAAGCCACCAGCCAACTAAAAGTTGACATTAGGAGAGACTATGGAATTGTAGGACTTCATAACAGTGTTTTCAGAGGCATTTGAAGTTTATGCATCAAAGAACACCTCAGAGTGATACATCCACAAAACATACCAATGTGCACAGTTGTCATTTGAAGCATATGCTTCATAGGTTTAAGTGTATGAGAAGCATAGATGCTTGTACCTCAAATACGCTTCAAGTCTTCAACCTTTAAGTAACATCACATTTTGTGAAAAAGAAATAAAGAAATAAAACAAAAAATTTACTTACCATGTTCACCTGAGGGTGAATTTGTGTCAATTTCCTCTTCAAATTGGAAACAAAAGAAAAGCCCCATCATATTTCATACATGTGGGTCCGTCTATGACCTTTGCCATATGAAGTTGCAAAATTACTCGTTTGTCTATTATGTTATCAAAATTTCACTTTTTTATGCCAATCAAATTAATTGTGGATTTCAAGAGTAAACAAAGAGTATTAGTTAAAATTACAAAAAAAAAATACATGCATATCTATTTTATTCAGAACAAAGAAATTAAAATATTCTTATACAGTTTAAGTAGTGATGGAGTTAATAAAATTTTCATGAAAGTATAAAGCCATATTAATAAAAAATATAGAAGTTATATTAGTCTATTTAGTACAATTATACAACAAATGAACTAAAGTTGTTTTTATTTATCAATATTCTTTATTTATTTACTAAAAAAGACATGCTCGTTAGGCTTTTGTCTCCATCTCAGGCAAGTGGAGTGACTTGTCACACCTAAACATCTGAAAATACATTTTCACACAGAAACAATCATTGGAACACTACCTCCAACAAAAGAATGCATATGCTTCTTTTTTTTTTTTTTGATCAATAACTGTGGATTGAATTAATATTAAAAATATGAGAAAATTACAGGGCAAGGGGGCTAAACAATCTTAGCTCCCAAGAACAACTATTAAGCATCAAAAGAACAAAAATTACAAGACAGCCCAAAAAATAGAATGTCTGTTCACCCCTTGTCTAGCTAGACCATCTGCCAAAGAGTTCGCACTTCTTGTCTAGCTAGACCATATGCTTCCTTTGAGCACATGAAGAGAATGATAAGCCTTCCACCTCTCCATCAAGCAGTGGCTTTCTGAAGGCGAATTGTTAAATTACTTCTCACCCCATACTTTTTAACCTTTCTGTCACTATATCCTTGGGGCCAAGGTTCAAAAATAGGTTGGGGGTCGGTCTTATTTCTTAAGCCTGCCTACCCCCTGAAACTGATCAAAACTCCAAAGCCCTTTTATTTCAGGTATTGGGGACCTGCCGATGCAATATGATATGGGGCATATCATATCAAATTTTGAACCTTGCTTAGAGCTAAGATGATAAAGTCTACAAGGGTCACATAGGTAATTACTAGGCCTACATAATTCATCCTCATCCTCTATATAATCCACATTTTTCTGTAAATATGGTATTCTCCATTGGAAGTCCCCAAAACAACAATGAGAAGTCCTTAGATGATCCTCTAGACTACATCTCATTTAACAAGATACCCTAACCTTCTCCTATGACAAGCTATTAAAACTGAGATATGGAGTTTATGGACACTTCAGAGTGTGCATCAATACCCATATTGAGCACTTGTGGAGACTAACAGAACACTTATGAGAACTCTCTCTGCAATATGAAACTAAAGAATCCGATTCCTTAAGTTGAAATCTTGGGCCAAAATTGGAATTTGATTCCGTCATTTAGTATAATGAACCAGACCGAATCAGATATACCTAGATCCAAATGTGATTATTCCAATTCAAATTGAACCTTATTTATATTCCTGTCCACTTATTAATTCTCGAAATTGACTGCTCAATGCAGAATGCAGATGATAGAGAAAAAATTACGATATGCATATGCTAATAATCAACAAAAACGAGTGTCCTCTTCCATTTCTGAAAGAACGCTTCATTTCCATCTCTTCCAAATGAAATTCACATTCTTGCGCTCAGAAAGTAAACAATATAAACTGTATAGCAAAGACAAAAAAAAAGGAAAGAAAACGCAGCTTCTGACCTTGGCAACTTGAATATTTACAGAATCTGGAATCTCCCTCTGAAGTAACACAATCCCGGCCTTCCTCACCAGCTCCAAGTCCTCATCAGAAAGCTTCTCGGGCCAACAAGACATGTTGGCGCCCCCAACAATGATAATGGAGTTCTGCCCATCAGACTGGAGCATCACCACAGCATGCCCAGTTGGAACAGCAGACACGGTGTTGAGATGATCAAGGAGAACACCACGACCCTCTAAAGCCTCAGTGATCAACTTCCCATGAGCATCCTCGCCAACCTGGCCGACGAAGTAAGTTGGGTAAGCGAGCTTTCCGCCACAAGCAGCCTGGTTGGCACCTTTGCCTCCTGCAAGGGTCTGGCCGGTCTTGGCAGAGATGGTCTCCCCTTCTTGAGGGAGTCTATCGATCTCAACATAGATGTCTGCATTTGCAGAACCCACGACCACCAATGGTGGTTGGCTTTGATGGATTGGTGTTGGGGCCTTGGAGGGATCTACAGCAAAGGAGAGAAGGGAGTTCCTTCTTGAAGATGCATTGTTCTTGCTGGTGTTGTTGTTGTTGTTGAGGCTAACTTGAACAGGAATTGTACTGAGGGTTCTGCTGGGTTGTTTCGTAATGGCCTTGGTGTTGGTAGGATTCCAGTGGTTTGACGGAGGAAGCGTTAAGCCCTTCATCTCTCTCTCTCTCTCTCTCTCAGAGAATTCCCGGTGTTTTTTCAGGCCTATTTGGCTGCAGCTGACTGCGTGTGGCACAGTGGCAGTATCGTTTTCGGGTCGGGTCGGGTAACTGAGGTAACGTGTTGGAACTTGGGATGAATTTGGATTAAAGGAATTGATTTGGGCACATTCGTTTTTGATAAACTGGAAGCATCTCTCCAACGGAAAGAGTAAAAGACAAAGAACACATTTATCAAAATGGATGTGCGCGATTGGATGGGGGATGATGAGTGATAAGGACGACGACGTGGAAGTGACTGGCCGAAATAATCAAATGTAGAGAAGAAAAACGATGCTCTGATCAATTGGGAGGACGGAGAACATATTGTTCGAGCCACCGAATTACCGTTCAACGAGAATCTTGAAAGGGAATTCTACAATAGATTGAATGTTGGGGCACGGCAGTGTTATGGTGAGAGTGTGTGCTCATTATCAAGGCGATGTGGATGCCTCAAAGCGCTTATGAGTGATGATCAAGCACCAGATATCCTGAATTTGTTATTAACCCCTCGAATATTAAACCCACATGAAACAACATGTTGAGTGGTGTTTGGATCGCATGCGTTTATGGTTGGAATTATTAATCAAGTTTCATAATATATTTTTATTTATAATTGATGTAGGCGCTTTAGGCAGACCAGTAGCACGTCGACATGCGGCTGAGGGCGGTGTGTAGCGCGGGACCAATGGCGCGGCCACACACGGCAACCTCAAATGGTTGTGCTCCCAAGGCCGGATCGCATCCTGATTATCTGCGCCCGTCTACCTCCAGACGGTCTCAAGTATAAATAGGGGCTACCCCCCTCAAGGTAATCATCTGAAATTTGGGCTGGAAACCCACTAATCCAAGCTCTCTAGCTCCTAGGCGACCTCGTCTGAGCTACTCTACTCAGGCCTTGTCAGCCCTCTTTGCTATGCCCTCACTAACTTGCCCACCAAAGTCCTTGCCTCGGGATAGCACTCGGGGCCTCTAACATTCCCTTCCTTGTAGGCACTCGGCTGACGTAGGGCAGACTTCACCAGCCCTCGGCCACTGCACACCTCGGGCTCTCCTAGCCCTCGGCCTTGGCAGCCCTTGGATCCATCAACAATTGCTAGCTCGTCATGGAAGAAAAGCTATAGAGTTGTCCTTGGCCAATCCGAGCATCAACAAATGGCGTCGTCCTGTGGGAACGACTATAAGACTACCCCCAATCTATAGCTAAGCTTCCAACGAAATGACTAGAAACACCAAAAGTACCCAGAAACACCAAACGACCCCGGCAGCCTCAGCGGTCACACCCCGACGGTCACACCCCGACGGTCACACCCCAACGGTCACACCCCAACGGTCACACCCCAACGGTCACACCCCAACGGTCACACCCCGACGGTCACACCTCGGTGGTCACACCCCGACGATCACACCTTGACAATCAAACCCCGACGGTCACACCTTGACGGTCAAACCCCGACGGTCACACCTCGGTGGTCACACCCCAATAGTCACACCTCGGCGGTCACACCCCAATGTCACACCTCGGTGGCCACACCTCGGCGGTCACACCCTAACGGTCACACCTCGGCGGTCACACCTTAACGGTCACACCTCGGCGATCACACCCTAACGGTCACACCTCGGCGGTCACACCCAGACACACACCTTGGCGGTCACACCCCAATGTCACACCTCGGTGGCCCCTTGGCGGCCACACCTCGGCTGCCCCCTCTGCCACATTGCGGTGGCCACACCTCGGCCAGCCCCTCGACGGTCACACCCCGATGGCCACACCTGGGTGGTCACACCCCGATAGTCACACCTCAGTGATCACACAGCGGTCACTCCCCGGCGGTCACACCCCGATAGTCACACCTCGGCGATCACACCCCGACAGTCACACCTCGGCGGTCACACCCCGATAGTCACACCTCGGCAGTCACACCCCAACGACTACACCTCGGCAGACCCTCGGTGGCCCCACTCGGCGACCATACCTTGGCTGCCCCCTCTGCCACACCTCATCCAGCACCTCAGCGGCCCCTCGATGGCCACACGTCGGCTGCCCCCTCTACCTGCCTCTCAATGGACGCGCACCCCTCCTCGCTAGAGATCTCACCTCCTCGACTCGGGGCATCGTCACTTCAGACAGTGGCCACACCTTGACGGCCCCCTCTGCCACACCGTGATGGCCCCTTAGTGGTCACACTTCAGCGGCCACGCCTCAGCTGCCCCCTTTGCCCACCTCTCGATAAACACTTGGCCCACGCACGAACTCATCAGCTAATCTGGAGCACACGACTAAGGGGCACGTGCACCTCGTACCCATGCAAAATACATGTCCTCAGCCTCAGCATCCCTCGGGCTCCACAGGTCATCAACCTCAGCAGCCCTCGGATGTTAGACAGTTTTGTATGCCCTTAGCTTCAATCAGAATGATGTACTTTATGAGTTTATTGTAAATGAATAAAGATACATATTTGATTCATG